AAAAAATTTTTTTGTGTCCGATCTTGATGAAAATTGGGGTACATATAAAGGAAAGCACGAGCAATTAAGGGATGAACTCAGTTGCTCCCTAGCTATTAAGGTTAACTTTTTTTTCTTAATTCCTTAGTTAATAATAATCGAATTATTCCATAAATTCACATAAAGGTAGAGCCGGACGGATAGTTTAAAATGCCCTCTGCGGCTTGCCTCTATCTTGAGCCGTTTAGTCGTTATTCACATTTAAAAATAAGTCAAATACCTTGTCGCGTTTCTGCTATCCTGATACCAAAATTTTGTAGACAAAATTGGATCTTTTCGAATTCGGAACTTTGTATCAGGATAAGAGATGAGCGAGGAGATATCAAAAATGTTTATTTTTGCCACAACTTTTTTAATATTGCTGTTAGAAAAAAACTGAGTAAATTTTTGAGATCTACATGTGACCTATCCGTATGCAAATTTAAATTGTTTTTTATTCTTTCAAAAAAATCGAAAGGGTATAGCCTTCCAAATTTTTCGACAAAAAATTTTTTTGTGTCCGATCTTGATGAAAATTGGGGTACATATAAAGGAAAGCACGAGCAATTAAGGGGTGAACTCAGTTGCTCCCTAGCTATAAGGGTTAACTTATTTTTCTTAATTCCTCAGTTAATAATAATCGAATTATTCCATAAATTCACATAAAGGTAGAGCCGGACGGATAGTTTAAAATGCCCTCTGCGGCTTGCCTCTATCTTGAGCCGTTTAGTCGTTATTCACATTTAAAAATAAGTCAAATACCTTGTCGCGTTTCTGCTATCCTGATACCAAAATTTTGTAGACAAAATTGGATCTTTTCGAATTCGGAACTTTGTATCAGGATAAGAGATGAGCGAGGAGATATCAAAAATGTTTATTTTTGCCACAACTTTTTTAATATTGCTGTTAGAAAAAAACTGAGTAAATTTTTGAGATCTACATGTGACCTATCCGTATGCAAATTAAAATTGTTTTTTATTCTTTCAAAAAAATCGAAAGGGTATAGCCTTCCAAATTTTTCGACAAAAAATTTTTTTGTGTCCGATCTTGATGAAAATTGGGGTACATATAAAGGAAAGCACGAGCAATTAAGGGGTGAACTCAGTTGCTCCCTAGCTATAAGGGTTAACTTATTTTTCTTAATTCCTCAGTTAATAATAATCGAATTATTCCATAAATTCACATAAAGGTAGAGCCGGACGGATAGTTTAAAATGCCCTCTGCGGCTTGCCTCTATCTTGAGCCGTTTAGTCGTTATTCACATTTAAAAATAAGTCAAATACCTTGTCGCGTTTCTGCTATCCTGATACCAAAATTTTGTAGACAAAATTGGATCTTTTCGAATTCGGAACTTTGTATCAGGATAATAGATGAGCGAGGAGATATCAAAAATGTTTATTTTTGCCACAACTTTTTTAATATTGCTGTTAGAAAAAAACTGAGTATATTTTTGAGATCTACATGTGACCTTCTATCCGTATGCAAATTTAAATTGTTTTTTATTCTTTCAAAAAAATCGAAAGGGTATAGCCTTCCAAATTTTTCGACAAAAAATTTTTTTGTGTCCGATCTTGATGAAAATTGGGGTACATATAAAGGAAAGCACGAGCAATTAAGGGGTGAACTCAGTTGCTCCCTAGCTATAATTGTTAACTTTTTTTTCTTAATTCCTCAGTTAATAATAATCGAATTATTCCATAAATTCACATAAAGGTAGAGCCGGACGGATAGTTTAAAATGCCCTCTGCGGCTTGCCTCTATCTTGAGCCGTTTAGTCGTTATTAACATTTAAAAATAAGTCAAATACCTTGTCGCGTTTCTGCTATCCTGATACCAAAATTTTGTAGACAAAATTGAATCTTTTCGAATTCGGAACTTTGTATCAGGATAATATATGAGCGAGGAGATATCAAAAATGTTTATTTTTGCCACAACTTTTTTAATATTGCTGTTAGAAAAAAACTGAGTATATTTTTGAGATCTACATGTGACCTTCTATCCGTATGCAAATTTAAATTGTTTTTTATTCTTTCAAAAAAATCGAAAGGGTATAGCCTTCCAAATTTTTCGACAAAAAATTTTTTTGTGTCCGATCTTGATGAAAATTGGGGTACATATAAAGGAAAGCACGAGCAATTAAGGGATGAACTCAGTTGCTCCCTAGCTATAAACGTTAACTTTTTTTTCTTAATTCCTCAGTTAATAATAATCGAATTATTCCATAAATTCACATAAAGGTAGAGCCGGACGGATAGTTTAAAATGCCCTCTGCGGCTTGCCTCTATCTTGAGCCGTTTAGTCGTTATTCACATTTAAAAATAAGTCAAATACCTTGTCGCGTTTCTGCTATCCTGATACCAAAATTTTGTAGACAAAATTGGATCTTCTCGAATTCGGAACTTTGTATCAGGATAATAGATGAGCGAGGAGATATCAAAAATGTTTATTTTTGCCACAACTTTTTTAATATTGCTGTTAGAAAAAAACTGAGTATATTTTTGAGATCTACATGTGACCTTCTATCCGTATGCAAATTTAAATTGTTTTTTATTCTTTCAAAAAAATCGAAAGGGTATAGCCTTCCAAATTTTTCGGCAAAAATTTTTTTGTGTCCGATCTTGATTAAAATTGGGGTACATATAAAGGAAAGCACGAGCAATTAAGGGGTGAACTCAGTTGCTCCCTAGCTATAAGGGTTAACTTTTTTTTCTTAATTCCTCAGTTAATAATAATCGAATTATTCCATAAATTCACATAAAGGTAGAGCCGGACGGATAGTTTAAAATGCCCTCTGCGGCTTGCCTCTATCTTGAGCCGTTTAGTCGTTATTCACATTTAAAAATAAGTCAAATACCTTGTCGCGTTTCTGCTATCCTGATACCAAAATTTTGTAGACAAAATTGGATCTTTTCGAATTCGGAACTTTGTATCAGGATAAGAGATGAGCGAGGAGATATCAAAAATGTTTATTTTTACCACAACTTTTTTAATGTTGCTGTTAGAAAAAAACTGAGTAAATTTTTGAGATCTACATGTGACCTTCTATCCGTATGCAAATTTAAATTGTTTTTTATTCTTTCAAAAAAATCGAAAGGGTATAGCCTTCCAAATTTTTCGACAAAAAATTTTTTTGTGTCCGATCTTGATGAAAATTGGGGTACATATAAAGGAAAGCACGAGCAATTAAGGGATGAACTCAGTTGCTCCCTAGCTATAAGGGTTAACTTTTTTTTCTTAATTCCTCAGTTAATAATAATCGAATTATTCCATAAATTCACATAAAGGTAGAGCCGGACGGATAGTTTAAAATGCCCTCTGCGGCTTGCCTCTATCTTGAGCCGTTTAGTCGTTATTCACATTTAAAAATACGTCAAATACCTTGTCGCGTTTCTGCTATCCTGATACCAAAATTTTGTAGACAAAATTGGATCTTTTCGAATTCGGAACTTTGTATCAGGATAATAGATGAGCGAGGAGATATCAAAAATGTTTATTTTTGCCACAACTTTTTTAATATTGCTGTTAGAAAAAAACTGAGTATATTTTTGAGATCTACATGTGACCTTCTATCCGTATGCAAATTTAAATTGTTTTTTATTCTTTCAGAAAAATCGAAAGGGTATAGCCTTCCAAATTTTTCGACAAAAAATTTTTTTGTGTCCGATCTTGATTAAAATTGGGGTACATATAAAGGAAAGCACGAGCAATTAAGGGGTGAACTCAGTTGCTCCCTAGCTATAAGGGTTAACTTTTTTTTCTTAATTCCTCAGTTAATAATAATCGAATTATTCCATAAATTCACATAAAGGTAGAGCCGGACGGATAGTTTAAAATGCCCTCTGCGGCTTGCCTCTATCTAGAGCCGTTTAGTCGTTATTAACATTTAAAAATAAGTCGAATACCTTGTCGCGTTTCTGCTATCCTGATACCAAAATTTTGTAGACAAAATTGGATCTTTTCGAATTCGGAACTTTGTATCAGGATAATAGATGAGCGAGGAGATATCAAAAATGTTTATTTTTGCCACAACTTTTTTAATATTGCTGTTAGAAAAAAACTGAGTATATTTTTGAGATCTACATGTGACCTTCTATCCGTATGCAAATTTAAATTGTTTTTTATTCTTTCAGAAAAATCGAAAGGGTATAGCCTTCCAAATTTTTCGACAAAAAAATTTTTTTTGTGTCCGATCTTGATGAAAATTGGGGTACATATAAAGGAAAGCACGAGCAATTAAGGGATGAACTCAGTTGCTCCCTAGCTATAAGGGTTAACTTTTTTTTCTTAATTCCTCAGTTAATAATAATCGAATTATTCCATAAATTCACATAAAGGTAGAGCCGGACGGATAGTTTAAAATGCCCTCTGCGGCTTGCCTCTATCTTGAGCCGTTTAGTCGTTATTCACATTTAAAAATAAGTCAAATACCTTGTCGCGTTTTTTCTGCTATCCTGATACCAAAATTTTGTAGACAAAATTGGATCTTTTCGAATTCGGAACTTTGTATCAGGATAAGAGATGAGCGAGGAGATATCAAAAATGTTTATTTTTGCCACAACTTTTTTAATATTGCTGTTAGAAAATATTGTTAAAAAAATAGAACGACTAGAATTGCGCACGTTAGTTGAAAATTAAAAAGAAATTATTTCATTCGGTAAAAAAAAATTTACTTGAGTAATAAAACCTTTGTATTATTTTTAAATCGTTTAATTTTGTTAGTTCTTAGTTTAGTTCAAAATTGTATAAAATATTTAATCTACACACAGGCATTCCAGCCTCGTAGAAATTGCAAATATTTATTGTCATATTACCACATATAACCGATTGTTATTTGTGTATTTATGTATTTACTTTTTGCCAATAAATATTATTATTATTTCAGGAAATTTCTAGCTCTTATGCTATCCTGATACTTTTTTATGAAAATTTTGGTTACGTTTGACATATATCTATGGCATGTGTTGGGGTTTAATTAAAAATCGAAATATTCTGAAACAAGTTTATTTTCTTATCAACATTTTCAAAATTGGGATTCACTATTCCCATTTGCAAATTATCTCAAACTGACCAGTATAACACAAAATTTGAATTCACTATTCCCGTTTGAAAATTATCTCAAACTGACCAGTATAACACAAAAACAAAACTAATGAGCAACGGCATTCACAATTTTTCCTATAAACATCGAAATAGAAAATTTAACAGCTTATCATCAATTAGTATTGTATTTGTGTATATAATACCTTTGAAATAATGTCGTTTCACAAAAATCTATAATATATATTAAAACGAGGAAGTCATTAAGAAATATTTTAGCCAACCTAATATTAAAAAATAAATAGAACGCTCTTATGATCATCACACTCTTAAGGCAAAAAAGTTAATAAAACAGTCGTTAAGAATTTATTTCTTCTTTCCCCCTGACTTTTTAGGGGCTCCTCCCGCTTTACGTGGGGGTGGAGTCGGACTAGCTGCCTCTGTAGTTGCTGGAGGTGGTGTTTCAGGCACACTTGTATCTACTGCTAGGACTTTAGGTGTAGGAGGCGTGCTAGGTGTAGTGGGCGGGGTAGCTTCTGTTACTTTAGCGATTGGGGGCTGTGCAGTCTCTTCAGGTTTCTTTTCTGCTTCTTTGGGCGCTTTAGGGGACTCTGTAGGTGTTGTTGGGACTTCTCCAGATGCCTTTGGGGTTTCTTCAGGTTTCTTTGGGGCCGCTGCTGGACCTTCTTTGGGGGCTTCTTCAGGTTTCTTTGGGGCCGCTGCTGGACCTTCTTTGGGGGCTTCTACAGAAGATGCTTTAGGAACTTCTTTAACGGCTTCAGTAGATAATGGTTTAGCCGTCTCTGCTTGTTTTGTGACCTCAGTAGAGGGTGTTGATGGAACTGGAGGTGTCGCCGTAGATTCCGAGGAAGTTTTAGGTGTTGTTTGTGAAATTTCAGTCGGTTTAGAAGCCTCAGGAGTTGTGGGTGAAGGAGCGACCGCGGTAACTGGGGTTGTAGTAGCTGTACCAGGAGTAGGGGCTGAAGTAGCTGCACTAGGAGTAGCAGGAGCAGCAGCTGGCGTTTTGGAAATCTCTACTGGTGTCCCGGGAAGTGCTGTTGGTGTTCCGGGAACTGCTGCTGGTATCGGAACTGCTTCTGGTGTTTCAGTAACTGCTACTGGCTTTTCGGGAACTGCTGCTGGTGCTCCGGGTACTGCGGCAGGCATTTCGGTACCTACAGCTGACTTTTCGAGAACTGCTACGGGTGCTTCGGGAAGTGATGTTGGTGTGATTGAAGCTGCTTCAGGAACTGAGGCGGGTATATCGGAAACTGCTTTTGGGGCTTCGGGAATTGCTTTTGATCCTTCGGGGCCCGCTGTTGGGGTGGTGGGAGCAGCGGCTGCTTCGGGAACAGGTGTTGGTGTAGTGGGAGCAGCGGCTGCTTCGGGAACAGCTGTTGGGGTGGTGGGAGCAGCGGCTGCTTCGGAAACCGTTGCTATGGTGGTAGGCACTGCAGCTACTTCTAGAACGGCTGCTGATGCTGCAGGAACTGCTGTTGGGGTGGTGACAGCTGTAGTTGCTTCGGGAGCACCAGCTGGCGGGACGGAGGCTGGCTTCTCGGTGGCAGGGCCTGCAGTGGGAACTGGAGTTTCAGCAACGGGAATTGGAACCGCTGTCTCTGGAGGAGTTTCAGTAGATGCAGCTGGGGCTGTCTTCTCTTCTACGGGCTTCGGTTCTGCAGATTTTGGAGGTCCAGAAACAGGAATTGTTTCTGGAGCTTTTATAAGGCCCTCACTTGGTGGTGTAGATTCAACTGGTTTTGGAGCCTCTGTCGGTGGTGATACAGCAGGCAAGGGTGCTGCTTCAGGAGCTTGAGCTGGAGGTTGAACTGAAACATTTCTTAATAACTCGGTGTAATTTTGAAAAGATGTTAGTAAGACCACTTACTGTCAAACAAGCGCTTATGTTATAATGTGCCCACTTATGGTAAAAGCCATTCACTTTTCGCTGAAATGGATTCACACCAAAAAAATTAATAAGCTTGCTCGGTGTTAAGGGATTGCACACTTTATACTGTAATTTGATTGTTATATATTAAAACAGTTTATAGAATACATATACTATGGAATTAGGATTTTTGTAAGGGACCAGCTGTTATTGCATACAATTTATAAAAAATACAATCTTTATTTTATAACAATAAATATAAGATGCAATGGGTAATCAACTTTTTTTAGTATTTTGGAACACAAGCAATGGACCTATCCCAAAATAAATAGATCCACACGAGTTAAATGGCATCGGATTAAAATAAATCAAAATTTTAATAACAAAAACATGGCGATAGGTCCATTAATATTATCTTCACTTTTGCCGAGGAGCTCTTTTTTCACCTTTTTCTGTAGTAACTGCTACTGGTTCAGCTGCCGATTCCACAGGCTTCTCTTCAGTCTTCGACGGACTTGGTTCTAAATGCCCAAACGAATAAATTATTTTCAACAACTTTTATTCAATCAAACATAACAGTGCAAGAAGTAGAAGAAGAAAAAGAAAATAGGAAGGTGCAGTCCGGAAAAGTAGAAAGAAATTGCTATAAATAAATGTTTAGTAAATAGAATATCTTTAGCGTAAATAATAATAGGTACATAGATTTAAGCGTAAAACAAAATGCAAGACCTTAGACCAAAGATTTTAATAAAAATACAAAACATTAAGCGTTAATCCAACATTATAATTTCATGCAAAGCTTTGGTGAAAAAAAAAACGGAAACTAAGAAGTGTTGTAATCTAGTTAAGGGTGTAATTAAATCGCCGCACCTTTTTCAGTCCCTTCAGACAATGTCTCGCAAATTTTGCTCCATATATTTTCGAAGGAATCCTTTCCTAAGTAATCTATGTTGCCGACTTCCCATCCTTGTCTTCTCAAATGATCGTCCAAGGCTTGTTGCTCAGGAGTTCTTGCTTGTCCCAGGGTTAGATTTGCAAACGCACCAGCTAATCCAGCCTGAAAAAGTTTCACTCGTTAATATCAAGAGGCATATTATATCCTTTATTTAGGTGATAACTATTTACAAAATTAACAAGTGTGTGGTTATGTGGATAATGGGGTTTAATATTAAAATCAACTTTAACTGAAAATAGGCTGGGATGTATTACAAATTAAACTAGAAGGAATTGGTTTAAATCTTAGTGTCAATCGCATGTAAAAATAGCCGTTAGTCAAGCAGATTTGAAAGAAAAAAAACTATACCTGTTGCAAGGATGTTCTTGGGGATGTTTTACTCGAAGCAAATTTAGACCAAAAACTACTTATTCTACTAGAAGAAATTATGTATATTGTTTCCTTCAAGTATTCAAATAAATGGACCGGGAGCTGCTGCCTCAAAACTTGCGTCATAAGGTTTATAATTTTAACTATCAGATTTTATAGGGATCGATAACATCATTTAAAAAATGTTCCTCTTAAATTTTAAACTGCAGCATTTGGCTACTAGAAATTGTAAAATTTAAATTTACATTACAAGGTATACATCAGTTTTTTTTGCGAAAGAGACCACCTAGTCTAAAAACAGTGTCGTGAGACAAAATGTTTAAGTGGCTTTGAAAAAAAGATAGACATTTACGACATAAGGTATAAAAACGTTTTTTTGTCAGATTGTTCCTTACTAAATGTACCTACCCACCCAGAAACTATTCGTAAGACAAAATATTTGGGGGCTTAGTTACTTTAAAGACAAGGGTTTTTAGAAAAAGGGCTAATATTTACGTCATAAGGTATAAGAATAAAACCAATGTGATTTTCTGTGGAACTGAATCTCTAATCTAGAACACGTTTATTTACCTTTTGAAGTCAACCATCACTACTTAGTTTATCGCTTAAATTTACCTAAGGGGATCTATTATAGAGAGTAGGTTTCTATGAAATAAACATCGAACCGTACCTTTATTAGAAAAATTGGGTACACAGGATTTTAGATTTTAGAAATTCTGAAAGACCTCCGGGAACTTCCAAAGGAATTCCGTACTACCTAATGAATTACGAGATTACCGAAAAAATTTCAAAAATTTTCTGAAAAAATAAATGATATTCACATTCTATTCTAAATTTGCAATATAACAAAATAGTGAGTTGTTTAAAAATGAAGGAACTACAAATGTGATTAGATTTGAAATTTTATTTGTATAAATCTAATGTGTTAGTATAAGGTTTCATATATTAATTTCTATCACCTTAATTATATAGAAAACTATAGCAGTTATGTAAAAACCTTAATCAAAAATCAGACAGATCGGTATAAAAGACTGTATAATATTTTTCAATATTGTTGTCACACAAGATTCTACAATTTTCTAGTTGTTTAATTTGCCTGGTTTTCTTCCCTAGACTTTGGTATCTTGGTTTTATCTTGCTTTTGTCAATTTCTAAGAGAATTCCATGATTTTCGAAGAAATTCTGGTAATTTCGGCCAGATGTGTACACGGAATTTCGTATAAATTTACCTCTCAATGTTTATTTTATAGAAACTATAATAGAGCTCATTAGGTAAATTTAAGCAGCAAAGCAGTAAATAGTGTAGTCGACTTCAAAAAGTCAATAAACGTGTTTTCTAACTTTTTATTTAATACAAGATATATAAAATATACGTTACATCACAACATACCAAGTTTGTTTCTTTCTTTATAATTTTATATTTTTTATTTTATATTGTATTTTTGTCTTTTAATTGTTATAGCGTTTTTAAATTATTGTATTGTGCAAGTAAATTGTATGTTTGCACACCATAGAGAACATCGACCGATTGAGATCCGAAAAACATGTTTCGGATTCTAACCGATCTTTGTCATTTCACGATTACGGTGGACCGTATTCGAAAACAACACTGGTGAACGAATGAAGGATCTTAGAAATGTATTCTAGTACAATCAAGGATTGGTAAAAGGATGGTAAAAGAATGGTTTTAAGGAGAATTGAGAGAGCTGGGAGGGAAAGAGTTCGACGGTCACAGCTATGTGCTTCGATAGTCTAACCGGTAAAGGTGCCATCGGCTCTAATCGGAAGATTCCAGGTTCGATCCCTGGGCGATACATTCATGGGGTGTATTTTTCATATTTTCATAGAGTGAATTGGGGATTACATATTTTCATATTTCCAAAATTGCATAAACTTTTAAATGGCGTTATCGATTTACATAAAATCTGAATGTCAAATATTTTATACCTTATGAGGCAGCAGCTCTCGGTCCAGAAATCAAAATATAAACTCGGGGTGCCAGACAAAAACAATATAGGTAATTCCTTCTAAAAATTCGCATTTGCGACGACTATTTAAAGTTAAATTCTGTACATTTTACTTATAAACTGTAGGTTAAATGATTTACTTACATGATCGTCATTACTGTCCTCTATAGAGTCTGTTTGCAAAGTTATTTCGTTGGACACTGTAGTAGTTGCCACACAATCATCTGGTAGCCTAGGATCGCTAGGAGGGGGTCTGTTGGATGAATTATCTTGGGAAGAATGTTGAGGAGGCTCATAGTGAATAGATGGACTATGAGTAGGCTCGTTATGATTACTAGGAATAACAGGGGCGATGGGAGAAGGTTGCGGTTGACTATTTGAAGGATGATGAATGTGATCATGATGTTCAGCCTCAGAAAATGCTTTTGTATTATGAGATTCAATTACATTTTGTTGATAATGAGATTCATGTGATTGAATATGCCTCTCGAGTGTTTCGTGATAGTGACTATGAGTTTCTAAATTAATATTATTATTATGTTGTTGTTGTTGTTGTTGTTGTTGTTGTTGTTGTTGTTGTTGTTGATAAGTTTGGATATGACCAGTGTCTGAATGATAATGATGTTCAATATAAGTTTGGCTTTGTTCAGTATGTGAATGATACTCCTGAGGCCTGTGTTTATTCTGATATGTGTCGGGTGCTTGATACGTGTCGGGTGTTTGATATGTGTCGGGTTTTTGATATGTGTCGGGTTTTTGATATGTGTCGGGTTCTTGATATGTGTCGGGTTTCTGATATGTGTCGGGTTCTTGAACGTGATAAGTTTCTATTTGTGAGTGAGGGTGTTCAGTACGTTGGATTTGCGCCTGTGAGTACATATTGTCATGTGATGTATTATCAGATTGTCTAGAGTCATATTCGTCCCATGGATCCCATACATTTTGGTAGTCTCCCGCATTATTAGGATTAGAAGAAGTAGAAGGATGATTGTGGTCGTGATAATAGGAAGTGTGAACAAGATTTTGGGAAGTGTAAGACTGACTACCATGCACAGTGTCGTTATGGCTGGTCTGAACAAACAAGCATGCAAAAGAAAGAAAAAAGTTCAGTATGAGCTAAATGTTAATGTGTCTTATTACCTGAACAAAATCGAATTTTGCTCAGATAATGCACTGTGAACAAATAAACAAGAAAAAAAAAAGAAGCGAACAAAATGCCAATTCAACTCAAAATACAAATAGCGTAGCTGTGTGCTGTTGCATCATGCAACAAAGTTTTTAATCGAATGCCAACGAATTCGTGATATTTATTATTTACATAAATTCAAATTTGTTTCTATTAAATGTGATTTACTTACACAAGCATAACTATTTTGTACAAACATTATAGCAACAGACAGTAATTTTAACCAAACAATTTTGTGTCAAATGTCATTAACAACATTTTTACGATGATAGATGTTTAAAAGTCAAAAAAATTATTGGTGGAAGTATACAGTAAATAATGAGAGTGAATTATTTTTGAAAAAGAAAAAGTTATTAACACAACAATTTATCGAACACGCAGACTTGACAATTTTATTGCCTATTTTTAAAATATTACGTTTATTTTTGAGAAAACTAAACGCCAGAAATAATTATATAAAAATTTCAGTTTAGAAAATACATAACATTTAAGGAAAAAATTGTAGAAGTAGAATATCTAGCAATTTTGTAAGAGTGTTAAGATCGTTTTGAGATATTTCATATTGACCTACTACCTGCATTGAGAGGATTCATTTTATTCGTTTAAAAATGATGATAAAAATGTTTCTAGTAACTATAGGGCCTGTATATATCTGCTCCCTACATTGGCATAAATTCATTTCTTTCGCTTAGACAATTTGGTTTCCAATTCAATAAAAATCAGACGCCATATTTTATTTTCTAGAGAAACTATATTTGGAGCTTAATGAAAAATCAGTTGCTGCCGTGTATTCTGTGATTTATCTAAGGTGTTTGATTGTGTAAATCACATAATATTATGAAGTAAATTGAAAAAATATGGTTTCAAGGGTATGGCTTTGGTATGGTTAAAATCTTATTTGATAAATAGATGTCAAAGTGTAGTGATTAAGAATAATACATCAGATTGTTGGCAGTGGTGTACCTCAGGGTGCTGTTCTGGGTCCGTTACTGTGTTTACTTCACATTAATGGATTATTAACTATTTTTGCTGATGATAAGACCATAATGTGGCACGACAAAAATGAAGACGCTTCAAAATTAGTACTGATATTATTTTAATAAAACAGTGTTGTAATTCCAACCTTTTAAGCTTCAATATATCGACTCACAACCTGCACTCGCACTTTCGTCTCCTGTTTAAGTCTAAGGTACGTATTTATAAACCGATCTCGGCCGAGTCGTACTTGAACGAAAATCGAAGTTCAATTATAACTTCTCTCGAGTTCCAGGTGGTTCCGGCGTTGTATTAGAATTTAAAGATGGACAGTAGCAAATCCGTAACTGCTAAGGACATTTACGGATTTGTTACTACCCATCTCTAAATTCAGGCAATATAACCGAATTTCGATTTTCGATCAAGGATGACTCAGCTGAGTGTTTATAAACAGGGGCCTAGATTAGATTAGATTAGGACTTGGACGTTATTTGTCCTTATCCACCGCGACCTTTTCAGATCTATTGTGGGACCGTTTGTTTTAGAGTATGTCGTCTAGCCTGGTCTTTTTTATTAGACTTAGTAGCTTTGACAGTGGCTCCCGCATGTAGTTGCATGCAATTGGCTTTTCTTCGCCCAATGTTAGAAACCTCATTCCAGCCAGGCCTTCACATTGGCACAGGACGTGGAATGATGCTGCCTCTAATTCTTCACAGAACCTGCACAAAGTTGCTTCTTCTGCTGGATTTATGACACTCATGTGCCTTTTGAGGCGACAGTGTCCAGTAAGACGGCCTACTGTCATCCTAACGATTTGACGCTTTTGATCCAGTAGGTCTTTCGTGAACTTGGCCGATGGTTCCTTGATGAACTGTTTGGCCTGTCTCAGTCTTGGATAGTTGTTTCACCATTCCTGAGACTCTTTTTGTATCCATTGTTTAAAGGATGCCTTGCACAATGCCTTAGCAACTCCACAGAATGGTTCGGGGCCTGTCATGGCCTTATCTGAGCCTTCTTGGGCTAATTCATCGGCCTTTTCGTTGCTCTGATATCCCTCATGGCCTGTAACCCAGGCTAGGGTCACCTTATTTTGACTAAGCTCTGTCAGGTCTTCTAGACAGTCTTTCACCAGTCGTGATTTGATTTCTGGTGAGAGAATTGCCTTTAGAGCTGCTTGGCTATCAGAGTACATGGCAATAGTTTTGCCTGATACTTGTTGATTTAATATTTCTCTTGCACAGTGTTGTATGGCTATTAGCTCAGCCTGGAACACTGTTGCATATTTTCCTAGACTCGGCGAAATCGTTGATTTCGACTGGGGTCTGTAGATTCCAGCACCGGCTCCTTCCTTGGTTTTTGAACCGTCTGTGTACCAGACGAGTTCAGCCTGTACGGGAGGTCCCTGTTTCCAGGATTCTCGGGCTGGTATTTGAATTTGAAAATTTCTTTCAAATTTGTATGTAGTTATGGCTCTATCAGTAGGCATAGCTAGAATATTATCCCTTTTTACTTGCTGATATAGCTTGTGTGGTCGGCGCTATGTAGTTAGCTTATTGGATTTTGTCCCTGTATTAGCCTGTGAATAGCTGACCTGGTTTCTCCTTGTATGAAGATGTGCAGTGGCGTGAGATTTAATAATACCTCCATTGCTGCGATCGGCGTAGTGCGCATGGCCCCAGTAGCACTTAGACAGGCAAGCCGCTGAATGCTAGTGAGTAAGCCTATTGCACTTTTGCAGTTTTGGTTACCCACGTCACTGCGCCATAGGTTATCATGGGTCTTATTACCCTTGTGTATAACCATATGGGTCATTTTGGGGTTTAGACCCCAGTTTTTCCCACATATTCTTCTACAGCTTACGAGAGCTATTGTAGCTTTATGTGTGAGTTTTTTGAGATGTTGATTCCACGTCAGCCTTTGGTCAAATATGACTTCGAGGTATTTGGCTTCTGTGACGAATGGAATAACTATGTTGTTTAGTACTAGTGGTCTTAGACCTGTAAGTACCCGTTTTTTGTGAATGGTACAACTGTTGTTTTTTGTGCGTTAATGGACAATTGTTCCTTTTTGCACCAGTTGTTCACTATGTTTAGAGCTGTTTGAGATCGCTCCGAAACTGTACCTGCGAATCGCCCCCTGACGATAATTGCTAGGTACTGGTAGCCTTCTTTGAACAATGTTTTGAGTAAGCCGTCCACAAGAACTGACCACAGCACACCACTTTCCTAGAGTGGATAAAATAATCCTGTTCTCTAGACAGGCAGTGATCCATTTGCATATTGTTACTGGGACGTTTCTCTCTTCTAGAGCCTTGGTTATTGACCTGGTTGAGGCATTGTTGAAAGCTCCTTCAATATCTAAGAAAGTGGCTATTGCGATTTCTTTGTCATCTATTGACTTTGAAAGCAGCCTGTTTAGATCGTCCAGCGCTAGGTCAGTTGACTTTCCTGGCTGGCCTAAGGAACATGAAAATAAAAATCGAGGTGTAATAAGGAGTAAGAGTGGCAAATATTAAAAAAACGAATTAATTTTAACTAAAGATTTCATTGCAAATGCGAATGAAGCTAGTGAGTCGGTTTTCTTGCTCGCAAGTATAGTTTGAAAACTTTCAAATGTAATATATCAACATACTTATTGTATTTCACTTTTTATATGACAGAAAAACATTTTTAATTATCTACCCTTTGGTCTATAAAGAATTTGAAAATATATGTAAATTTAGACGGGAAGTAAAAAAGTTTATCATAAGGAAAAGCATACTATTAGCTTGGAAAGTTATTTGCAGATGAGTTTGACTGAAATTAATAAAATATAATTATTATTATTATTATTAATCATGGTTGTTTTATCATAGTTTTATTTTATCTATGTATTATTGTACTATTTTAAGTTATCTAATATCTATTTTTTGTATTTTTTTAAATTATACATTTTACATTATTTTCCTTCTCTTTATATGTTATTTGCTTTTTCAATGGGATTTTTTAAATCTTCGTACAATAAAGTTATTTTGATTTGATTAATAAGCGACGAAATATCTCGAAACGGTCCTTAACTACTATTCAGATGGAAACAACGATCATAGAAAAAATGGAAAATTATAAAGAAAACGTATATATTATCAGGAAAACGTGTTCGTTTAAAAAATAAGTGTTGAAATGCTTTTTTTGCTGAAATAGCGACTCACCTTAAATTCGTCACTCAAGAATATCGAAGGCTTGTAATAATTTGAAACAGTCTCTGTTAATAATTAAATAGTTTTTATACAATTAAAAAATAGCTAGCAGACGTATTGCAAATAAAACATTTTATATTTACCATATCGGAGGAGAGTTTTGGATGAATAAGATCGCAAAAGATGTTCCACCAGAGTTGGAGGATATCCGCCAAGTGGTTCAGACCTTCGGATGGGTGGACCTTCCTAGTTTCTGTGTTGAAATATTGCAACCACGGTTTGGACGATCCAATGAAGTGTATAATTTTGGCATTTTTACCAAATCTGAAAAAAAATTCTATTATGTAAACGAGTTAAATATCTAGGATTTTTCTAAAAAAAAATCATCAACTTGGGATCCTTTAGTAACGTTAATTTTCCGTAGACAATGGAACTGGCCAAATTTTTATATATCAGATCCATTAAAAACAAACTGAAGTCGATTTATTACCATTACATTAAATTGTTTGGTTTCTAACGGATTGTGGATTCATAATTCATAGAGGAGAGTGGTCTAATATCGACTAACGTTGAATATCGACCAACCGCCTGTAGCGAGAATAAAAATCCAGGTCCCGATTAACATAAAACTAATAAATTATTGTATCCTTAAAACAACACTCTGTATATCAGAATTTTCAAAATATTTTTAATATTTTAAAAGAGCACAAAACATTGAATCAAACAATGTACTTTCTGTAGTTCTGCAGGTTACATTTTACATTTTTGATTAATACAAATTAAAATAATTTCAAAAAGTTTATGTCTGATAAAGAATTAAGAAAATAATTTACTATAATCTATTGAAACTTGTAAAATATGTCTAGTATTATCTGTGAGTACAGGTCCGATTTTAGAAAAAAATATGTGTTACATGGCTTCGTGATTTATTTTATTTTACGTCTTGGTCACATTTGAGTTGGAATTATTTTCATATTTTTAACAATATATTAAATTTTTCCTCCCAATTTTTTTTAAAATTACATATTTTGAACTAACAACCTGATCATTGTTAATCTAGTTTTAGCTACATGTTAATTCAGAATAAAAAACATACATTAACGAAAGTTAATCTAGTAATTTTTTGATAATTATCGTCTTTATTTGAATTCTTCTTGTATATCGAATGTGTAGATATATTTCTTATTTTAGCTAAACAGAGGTATAAAGAAAATTAAAATCGTGACCAATTTACAATATTTTGATTTATTTTCTTTTATTGAGGGTTGTCGAAGTAAATATCGCTAAAAAAATCAAGTAGGCAAAATTGGTAACTTATTTTGATAGCTTATGTGAAACAAAAAAAAAAAGAATAGTAATTATTGACTGTGTCAGCACAAACATTAAAGGAAAATTTTGGTCGACACTGGCAAACTAGCGACTGCTCGATATCGTAATACTAATCTGAACCCACGCACATGAAATCCCAAAGGGTTAAATGGTAGAACATGCTCTGTAAAAAAAAGATGAACTTGACCCATTATTTCTATTTTTTTTTTTTATAAAATATCTATTTACTATATTTTGTATTTTTTATAGAAATAATAAAGACGTAATTTATTATTATTATAATATTCGCTTTCTCCACCCTCGCTTTTAAAAACAAGAAATTAGGTACCAGTAGTTAAACTCCTCCCAATATGCCTACCAAGTAGACAAATCGTCAGATCATGCCCTGCACAGTCTAGCAGGTAAAATCAGCCATTCCTTAAAATACAGGTAGATTGCGCTAGGTGCCTTCCTAGACATAGAAGGTTCAATAACGCCCTTCCTCAGTCTCTACTCACTTCTATTTAATGAAGAGGAATAAACAAATAAACAAACTTCTCTGTAACTGGATCAAAAGCATACTTGGAAACCGAAACATCATTTCATCACTGCAGGGAGATTTATTTTCAGAACTGTCAGAGGATGTCTACAAGGCGGCATACTTTTAACCCTAGCCCATTCTGGTAGATAACCTGCTAGACGATCTCTGTCGACAGGGGATTGATTTCCAATGCTATGCGTATAATCTAGTTACAGAAGTATTCCTATGCATTGCAAAGAGCACTGCTTAACTTAATGCAAACCGTCTGAGAATTCCAAATTATTCATAGCGTACAACTATTAAACTGTCCACTGATCAACTAGTCCTCAGATAGTTCTAGATGTACTTTTGAAGAACCTGAACAGACCTAGGATGTTACACTCATGAATTGGGCTAACTCAACCCTTCCATGAACGTCTCTGCTCAGATCCGGGAAAAATTTACGCATTTTCACGGGACTGATGACATGACATTATCAGCCACATTTATTTGTAAGAGCCAATAAAGGTGAAAAGTGAATTAACATATTTAAAAAATATTGTATCCACCTAAAATTGTTGTGTGCGTAGAAACCGACCGTTTAGGCAGCAATGCCGGTTCGGTACAAAGTATTTAAATTGTCGTAGAATTCAGTAATTTTTATCCATCTCAACACCTGAAAAAAAAAAAAACTCTTGTGTCTTTGCGAACAACAGTTTCACAGTTCACCAAGATTTTATTCGTTAATGGACTCGTTTTTCCTGGCTACTAGAGCTTAAAACGTGAAATTACAACCAGTACATTTTCGCCCTTCTATTCCATACATAACTGTCTAGAACATGTAAGTCATCAAATATTTTAGTAGTTTGATCAGATTAGAGGTTAAAGCATTCATTTTTTTGTGAAAATTGTATATCCAGTTTTAAAAACAATTTTTGGACATTTCTCCCTACACTAAAAGGTAGCTTATCTAATTCTAATAATGTACAAGTATGTTGTCTTGTGGTTTAGCAACGCAAAGAAAGCAGGCGTTTTAGAAAAGTGAAAATAATTTATATGATTTAATCTCACAATTGTATCCTATTTATAAATCATTTAAATGCGTAAAAATAATAATTAAATAGAATATAATTTGCGAAGAGAAAAATACAAAGTCTGTCAATCACTGGGAACTTTTGATTTTTCAAAAATTGTAAATTTTACAAGCGCTCAGATAAATATGTAGAAAATCTGCAATAGTTTTAAGTTAGATACCTAATTATAATATTTAATGATGAGGAGAATAAAATTTGATTTCATTCTGCCACCATCTCATGAAGGTGACATCAATAATGAAATAATTAAGAAAGATGAAACCAAACACAAGAGTTAATAAGGAAAAAGAATAAATAATTGGTCGATAGTTGCCTACTCTTCCCTACATTTGATACAATGTAACTTAAAAATTCCTTCCATATTAGCAACGACTATTAATGGGATATTTATATATCATTTTTCTCCAAATTGTTGATGCGTGCCGATTTTATCTGCTAAATAGTTTTAGTGAGCAGTCCAGTAATAAAACAAAATTCTGGCTCGTTGGCAAACTTAAATGATGTGGGCGTTAATGCGAATTTGTCGTTTCAGTAATCAAATTTTACTTACTGTTTAAATGCCGGCAAATACGAGTAGCACGCCGTGGAGGACATGTTGTAAATAAAGGGCAAATGCTTGCTAATATCCTTGTGCGCCCAGTCGGAGAAGTACAAGTTAAGAAGTCCTTGGTCACCACCTGAAAAAAAAGGACGGGTCAATCAGGGTAAAATATAGGTGTAAAAATCAACTTAAATAAATGACGCAAACTTGTAACAAACAATAACGTTATTTTTGTGAACTACAGAAGGGTTTTCTGTTCAATGGCGTTTGTTTCCAAATTAAAGGATAAAATGACATAAGAGTCCCGAAAATGTACCGTCTTTCTTAGTCAAAGATTGCATTGTCTACTCAATTAGCAAAACTTTTTAATTTATGTTTAACAAAAAAAGTTTTTACTGTTCAATGAAAAAAGTCGAAAGTTTCTCCTGTTTTTAGGAGTGGTAAAGTTAAATATTGAAAACTGTAGACCCATTTCTATTATAAACTACTCGAAACAAGTTAAGGACCACTTTTTAAAACACATGTATCTATTTTACTTTTGAAGCGATCCTCGGTGTGTAAATGCTCATAGGAATTTAGATGTTGTAGAAGCCTTATATTTGCCGCAGAAGAAGGTCCTCAACATGATAATGGGAGACTTCTAGTATTGTCACAAAATACCTTGAAGAGAACAATATCGAGGTTTTTAGACTGGTCCACAAACTCCCCGGATCTAAATCCTATTGAGCATCTCTGGGATGTTCTTCAAAGAAGGATAAGGGATCATCCGTCGTCGGAAAATTTGGATCAGGAACAATATTCCCAGAGAAATGATCATAAGTGGAGTCCATGCCCAGACGATGTGAAGAAGTTCGGCTAGCCAGAGGAGAGTACACACAACATAGTGTATTTTTTTAATAAAAGTTGTGGAAAATCCATTTTTTTAGATTTTTCATTTTTTAAGCTTTCATTTTTTATTTCATTTATAAAACATATACTGCATTTAAAAGCCTAATGTTTTCCTAAACTAACAGCGCTCAGAAAATTTAAAAGGATATGTTTGATTAAAAGTTAGGAAAAATGGGGGGTTAAGGAGGCTGAAAACGAAAGTGATTTCAACATGAAATATTTAGTAAAAATTAGGATAAGGGGATGAAGCCTATTGATTCTGAAAAAAATCTAAACAAAAATGGAAGGGTTGAAATATTAAAAAAATATATCAGAAACAAGAAACGATATGAATTTGAAATCTTCAGGAAAAATCCATCTATAAGAGGGTACAGCAGCCGACTGATTCCGAAAAAAATTGATTAAAACGAGGTGTTAAACTGTGAATGGTATAATATAGTCTGCCAAATATTTATATATCTTCATTCTAGTTGTTTTTTATATAAAATTATTACATTAGTTCTATACTATCTATCTATCTATCTATCTATCTATCTATCTATCCATCTATCTATCTATCTATCTATCTATCTATCTATCTATCTATCTATCTATCCATCTATCTATCTATCTATCTATCTATCTATCCATCCATCCATCCATCCATCCATCCATCCATCCATCCATCCATCCATCCATCCATCCATCCATCCATCCATCCATCCATCCATCCATCCATCCATCCATCCATCCATCCATCCATCCATCCATCCATCCATCCATCCATCCATCCATCCATCCATCCATCCATCCATCCATCCATCCATCCATCCATCCATCCATCCATCCATCCATCCATCCATCCATCCATCCATCCATCCATCCATCCATCCATCCATCCATCCATCCATCCATCCATCCATCCATCCATCCATCCATCCATCCATCCATCCATCCATCCATCCATCCATCCATCCATCCATCCATCCATCCATCCATCCATCCATCCATCCATCCATCCATCCATCCATCCATCCATCCATCCATCTATCTATCTATCTATCTAATCTATCTATCTATCTATCTATCTATCTATCTATCTATCTATCTAATCTATCTATCTATCTATCTATCTATCTATCTATCTATCTATCTATCTATCTATCTATCTATCTATCTATCTATCTATCTATCTATCTATCTATCTATCTATCTATCTATTTGAATTAGAGCGTGGTTCAAAGACCACTTGTACTGAAGCTCTAGGCTTATTATACCCCTTACAGTTTCTATCCCATAAGATTAATTTTCTTGATGAATTCAAGAATATGTCTGGTGGGCGCTTTCGCGATTTCTGCAGGTTCCGGAAGTACTATTCCCGTTCCCATTTAAGGTTCCGACAGTGGCATAGTATGTGAATAGGAGTTTAGTCCTCCTGTTCACATATTCTACATAGGAAGCCATCAGATATCCCTAAGAGATTTAGGCGTCTTCTAAGGCCGCAGTGTCCCGTAGGGAGTCCTATTACGGCCTTGAGTTCGCTTCTGCTAAGGTTTAGCAGTAGATTTTGTCTGCTCGTGGATGGCCCCTCTATGAATCTTTTGGACTGTCTAAGTCCAGGAAGTTCCAACCAGAGCCTATGGTGTTCTCTATTTATTTGTTCCTTTAACACCCATTTAATATGTTGGTATGAGATACCACATGTGGGTTCTGGTCCAATAAGAGTTACTTCTACCCTTTTCAGTGCTTTAAGGCTGTCTGTCTGTCATGATAAAGATCCTCTTTATCTCTAAGAGAGTCATTTAGCATGACTTTAGCGCAGGCATTTATTGCTGTTACTTCAGCCTGGAAAACTGTTGTCAGTGACCCCAGGTTCAGACTAATTGTCCTCCCTGAGTTCACATGGTAGATCCCAGCTCCTGTGCTGTTTTTCATTTTCGAACCGTCTTTATACCAGATTGATTCGTTTTGTTTTTCCCTATTTTTCCGGCTTTTGGCCCTTTCTGGTATTTGAATATCGAAAGGTTTCCTGAAGTCGTGAATAATGGGCGTTCTATCCGATGGCATTCTTAGTACCGGATTTTGTTTTAATTTCTCTAATGTCTTTGTGTGGTGTCCTTTTCTCGAAAGTTCCCATCCAAATCCATTAGTAAACGCCGCCGCCACCATAGCCTCCTTCTTCACCATAAACTGACCACACCGATTTGAATATATTGTTTCAAAAAATTTATTTTTTGGTGTAATTTCCTTATAATTATATATTTTTAAAAATAAATGAAACAGATTTATTTTTATTTAATTTATAATTATATTCAAATTTAAGCTTCTTTTTCTTCCTAGCTTACTGAAATTAGTTGAAACTAATTTATTTTGTATATAACTTTTTTCTTATGTCTGATATGAATTAATAATTGTCTTATAAATGGTAACTGTTGGACAATAAAATTATTATTAATAGCATGCCTCGCACATCAATTTCACATCCTTTTTAGCCCCTAAAATATACCCCAAACCTTTAATGCCTTTTAAGTTTTATATTTTTGAGCCAATAAAAGAGCTCAGGATTCAACCAATAAATATTTTTTCTCCTCTCATCCAACAGCTACTTTCTCGCTTGTTTTAAATATACTAACATATTCAATATTTTCTGAATGTGTCGGACAATGAGATAAGACAAGAAATGCTAGCATCGTGGCAGTGCGCCGATTAGCACAAATGCATTTGCCACATCGGAAATTTTACACTTGGCCCACTAAACTGAAATCTGCCTTGAAAAGAAACGTTTACACAGATGATGATGATAATAACAGCGGCTTTACAAAAAAGTTGTCTATAATTCTGTTTATAATCGACCTCGTACCTAAAAAAATATTAAAAACAAATCAAAACTAAAAGTATCATAAACATACATCGACAATTTAAATTCAAGCGAAATGTTCTAAATGCCACAAATCATCAACTGTCACCTTGGACAGACGCCAAATACAAATACCGACAACACCACCGAAGTTTATTTTTAATCCAAATGAAAATATTGGAAAACAATTTTTCTTAACTTACCATCGAAACTTCCTTTCTCAATGGCGAATTGGATGAGTTTCTCGTAAGTGTCATTGGATGGACGGTAGACGAACACTCCAGAGTTGAAACAGTCGGGCCAACCGATGTCCGGTGCTGCAGAGAATTCTTCTCTTTCGAACAATTCATCACAGTTTTCTAATACCTAAACATAAATTATACTATTAATTGGATAAATCAGAGGTATTATAGTAATAAAACTATAAACTGGTCATATTTACACAAACAAACTTTGCAGTCGAAACTATTAAGAAAATCCAGTGGTAATTTAAAAGATATCTTTATCTTTATTAATAAAAATAAATTTCCTCAACTAATTTTATAAAAACTCAAAAAATAATTTGTTCTCTTGAATAACAAGAAAATAACTTTTTTATCAAAACATAATTAACTCTAAAAATCTAGTCTAGTCAACTTGATAATAAACAAAATATCACCAAAAGTTCTTTACAATAAAACAATGAAAAACTGAACGATTCAAGTATTATTTCTGATATTTTTTACAATTTTTTCAAAGATGTTAAAACTACAAAATAAGATGTATGTACCATTGAAAAATCCATATAATTTTAAAAATAAACTATTCATAACTTGTCAATATTTTTACTACCATATACCACAAATGAAACTTGACTTACAGCAAGGCTTAAAAATAAAAATTCGTCAAGGTCCGATGAGGTACCTATGTTTACTCGTATGTTGTACCGTTGTACCTATGTTTTACTAGTGGAAAATTTCCAAATAAGCTGAAAGTAGGCAAAGCTATTCCAGTCCATAAGAAAAGCTGTATGAAAACTACAAATCGATAACCATTAGTTCTAGTTTTCTAAAGTTTTTATATCTGAAAAATCAAATAGTACAGCACTTTATGAATTTTATGTCAATTTAATTAATTATATAGATGATGGAGAATGTCTCATAGGCATATTTTATGACCTAAGTCGTGCTTTCGATTGTGTAGATCACAATATATTAATTTCTAAATTATATGATTATGATATCGAGTGCTTAAAATAGCTTGAGTCATTTTTAAAAACTAGAACTCATATGATCAATTAAAACGTAAGGAAGGAAAACAATTTGTCAATTCAAAAAGAATTCAAATATATTTGGGAGTCCTACAAGGCTCGGTTTTAGGCCCGGTGCTTTTTATTATACAGTATATGGTTCAAATGAAATGAATAAATTCATTGTAATGGAAGTAATTGGTTTTTAGAAAAAATACTCGGACAGGTCAATTTTGTTTACTAAAAGAGCAATTTTTCAAAAATAATTCAAGTTTCCCCCACTTTCCATTTTTGAGCAGTGTAACGTTATTGACAATTTTTTTAAATAGTAAACCATTTTTTTTCTCTTGATTTTGATAGATCTTGCAATTTCCAACTCGGAAACATTA